TATTTATAATTTGTTCCCTGTTCCCGGCCGCAAAAGATTCCCTGGTGTTAGGTCCAGACAGGACCTTTCACCTTACAGACTCCACGGTACGCCTAGAAGTTAGTAAATATACAGAAATAGTTTTTTGTTAGTACCCCCTTTTTATTTTAATTTGCTTGGAATAAAACCTGGTGCCTTCACTTATCACAATCCCCCCCTTTTTTTTTTTTTAATGGTTTTATTACAAGGTTCTTTATGTTAAATTTCTATGATGTTTTGGGTTCGTTGAGGAGTAGTTTCCGTGTTTTTCTTCATGTCTTTAGTTTGCCCGGGAGCCAGATGCAGGATAATGGTCTTTTGGGCTGTGGTACTTCTTGTTGTGACGCTCTTTGAATTCACAGATATTGTAGTTAGTTGGATTTCTAGAAATTAATCTCATAAAACATGGAATTAATAAGGTAAAAACAATAATTTAAAGACAGTATATAACAAGAAAAAAAAAACTTAATTTGTTTTTATCAGGAGCTTATTACTTTCTATTAGAGGCAGTTACCATAGTTGTGTTATAGTATGTGTTTTGATAGCACTTTTGGCAGTACTAGTAGGAATATAGTTAAGGCAAACAGAGGTCCAGTATAGCATATACCTCCACTTTCCATGCCTGTCGGATTGCCGCCAACAGCAGGAGAGAGATATCTTCTTGTGGCAAGTATAGAGGCTAATCCGGTCTTGCCCTCTGTGGTGCCACTGCTTATCAGTATTGTGTTTATTAGTGCTTTCTGGCATTGCCCCTTGGCATTGTCTTTTGTTCTTGTGCTCTGGTTATTTAGGCCTCGATTGCCTCTTTTGTTTAGTTATTTATGCTCCTTCAGTTATTTGGGCTTTAAGAAATCTAGGTATTATGGAGTTATTAAAAATACGAAGGACCACTTTTTTCTGGTGGTTAAAACATGGTATTATTCTTATAACAATTTTCTTTCATTGGGGACCAGAGATTTCTCTGCATTACCGCCCTCCAGGAGTAGTGTATGTTCATTTGGTGCTGTTCTGTTGTTTTAGTGTACCAGCTGGGCCTTTGGCTGGCACTTAGCATGTGTACGCAGCGCTGGATTCTCTGGCATTGCTTCTTCCACGCACGCACTATTGGACTTAAAAGTTAATGAAATCACAGAATTATAGAATCATAGAATTAATTAGGTTGGAAGAGATTTTTAAGATTATCAAGTTCAACTTTTGATCCAATTTCACCGTGAGTATTAGATCATGGGACTTAGTGGCATATGTAGTTTTACTTTGAAAACTTCTAGGGATGGTGAATCATTTAAATGTCTGATTACTCTGTTTGCAAACGTCCCCTGGCAGAGCTCAAGCTCATGCCCTTTTGTTTCACTGCTGATTGTCTGGGAGAAGAGACAGACCTCCCCCCAGGTTACACTCTAGCCAACAGGATAAATTCGACCCACTCTCAACTCTCAATGCATGGTCACATTATTCATTCATTTTCCTCTTTTACACAACAATCCTTCCCTTTCTCCCTCCTCTGGCTCTTTTAACAACTTATCTTTTATTTAAACCTCCTTCACTCGAAAAGACTGATAATAATCAGTGCTCAGTCTTTTACAACACCATCTTAACAATATATTACTCCTTTCCTTTTCTCCCATATTCAAATCTCTTATTTTTGCTTTCTGTGCTGGCACACAGACTCTCTGTTGTTTAAAGAATGCTTTCCTTTTCCACATTACTCCGTTCTGTACTTTTTCTTACATGCTTAACCAACAAAAACTACTTTGTCATAGATCCCTTCAGAAACTTTTCTATTGGCCTTGCAAACTTCTAATTTTCAATACTCATCACAAGAATGTTTACAGAACATATGTTCCCATCCCCTCTCACCCACCACGAGAGAGGTTTTACTCTAACAAATAATTTGTTAGTAACTTCTTACCACTCAAACAACACACTTCACTTACAAATTATCCTCATGAGGTGCACACACCTATACACACGCTACATATAACAAACATACTGCTTAAAAATGTTGATTGCTCCCAAAAAATCTCGGAAGCGTCTGAGAGCCCCGGGGCCATTCCGAGAGCTCTTCAGTTGTTTA